TCCAATTGACCCCTTGACTCTGGGCCATTCAAGATTATGCTGCAGGCAAATTGCAAGGATACTTATATCAAAACTTGGATGAATAACATCCCCTGAAGGCATCAACTACATGATAAAATAAAGTATTTTCAACAACAACAAAAAAACAACAGAAATAAAAAAAAAACTCTTGGTGAGCAATTTGAGAAAAAAAAATGTTCGATTTTTTTAATATCAAATTCTTCAACAAATAATTTATCAAAACAAATAACAAAGTCTGATTACTTCCTCTAGTGATTTGGGGAGAAACAAAATGGCAGATGTAAAAGTGTTTCCCTGAAATATTTCTGAAATATGTGCAAAGAGATCCACATCAATAATTTCAATTTTTAGGTCAGTATATGCTATACATCTAAAACATTTTGAGGGCATGCATTTATCTGTTTTCTTTAGAAGTTTTGAAATAAAATAATTTTTTTTGGAAAACTGTCTTACTACAATCATTTGCAGCATGGACTGCGTTAAAATAAATTATAGGTGTACATGATAGTCCTATTAACCAGATCTAAGTAGATTTTCTATAATAGAGAAACGATTTCCCATTGCAAATTTCAGACTGAAATTAAATTAAATTATTACCTGTAGTGTTACATGTATATACTTCTATTAGCATTGTCCAAATTCTTACTGTTTCTCATACTCAAACCCCAACCCCTCATACCTGTGTGTGGTTCTACTAAGAGATAATGTATATGATGTCTGTAAAATAGATCTATATATGTACGGCAAAAGATGTTGAAAAGCCAAAGAGGGCACACTTCAATACACAATCACTGAATTCAGAATCTCAATAGTGGTAAGACCTTGGCCAGCAAGGATGGTAATTTTTCATGTTTTTTAAGAAACTGTATCCCTCCTATAAAAATACACAATTTTTTTCTAGCAAGTATTTTATCACTTAATGAGATGTATAAAAATATCTGCTGAATAAAGACTGTTTATTTAAAATCCATAATTCAAATTCTGTTATTCTGCACCAAAATCAGCAGAAATGATACACTTTTGTGTTTCACTTTGGGAGAGAAAATGGAGTGGGATTATTAAACAGAAATTATAATTTTGCATAATAATAAAAATATGCAGCCATGCTATTAACTTAACTTGTATCACTTCAGATTTAATTGTACCCTATCTGAAATATGATTTAATTAAATAAATAATTAATTAATTAAAACAATATAAATTATCTGTATCTAGAACATTGGAATATTTAAACTCTTGTGATTTGATGAAAAAAATGACATGAACCTTTGTATCAAAATCTATATTTATCAGCCACCAACACCCCCTGTAATAGGAGGCCCCAGAGCAAACATGTACATTCAAAGCATTAATTATTCACAGCCAAACTGAAGTCTTTCAAGTGAGTGTAATTATGTGATATGAGGGAGGTTAAATGGTAAATGGAACAGCAACATAATTGATTTTAGCAATTAGACTAGGCGCTTTGAATGGCTGATAAACTAAGAGCACAAAGGCAGCCACAATAAATGCTAAAACTGTCATGTTGTGTGACTATACACGTTATATTAAGTATATCTAAGATACGATTTTTTTATGACAAAGTGTCTTGGGAGACACGATCAGAGCAATGTTGCAATGTCAATGATAAAGCTAATACTATGCCAGTGATTATGTGCTTACATTGTACATAGGTTCTAACACATTGCATTATAAATTACCAATAACATATAACAAAGACAATGTGAAAATAGGTGATGTATACGCTCACTTCAGACAATCAACATTATGACCTCAATAGCAGGCCTCAGATGTGCCTCAAATGAAAAAAAAATAGAAAAAAGCCATTAAAATGTCTACTCGGGAATTAACATCACATCTAGAAGACAAGGCTTATCAACTAGGATTTTACAGAATTGAGGATCAAGACAGGATTTTCTTTGAAGATGAGAAATTATATTTTCCATTGATTTACTTCACCAGAGTAAGTCAGATTTAGGGCTTGCCAACTAAAATAAGATTTCGCTGAATTTAAGGATGAATGTTTTATTTTTTGAATAATTAAAAAAGTCTAAGAGCGATGGAGGCTAGGGTTAATATTAGGCGAAAGAGGCCCAGACATTTTTTTTTTCTCAAAATAAAAAAATGTTAGATAAAACATACATTAGCAGTCAGATAAATTTGAACTCATTCATTGCAAAATAAAATACCTTATTTTTTAAGTTATTTTTTGTTTCATCACGCAAAATTCATATTCAACAACACAAACATTATCAGTTATTGTTTTAAACAACTCAGTGGTATTGAACACTAAAGAATGCCAAAAGCACTTGAGACAAGCTTTTAACGACACTCAAATTTATCTTGATAAATTAAGGAATGCTATAAAGTGGTTCGTTGATAGATATCATGGGTACACATCATCCAAGCCACAATAATATATTAAAATATGCAACTATGGATAATCTAGTACAAATGCTGTGATTCATATTAGTAATATTAGATTTAATTCACATTATTTTTACTGTTGTTTGATGGAGTGAGAATACTGTTTTTGTTTTTGAATGCGTTTCCTGTATTTATAAAAGAGTATTATTACTATTCAGGTATCGGTATCGAAATATTACATTACTTAACATATAACAAAGTTAACCTTTCATTACCATGCATAGGTCTCAGAGAAATCGCGTAAACATGACAGTTAATCGGCGAATGTCAAACAGACCGAATATTATATTACTAGAATCTACCGCGAATTGGCACCCTAATTAATTCGACTTAAAATTACGTTTCCGTTGAAATCCAAGACAGCCATTTTGATACACGTAATAAAACTACTATCACAATAATAAGAAACGAATGCGGAAGTGGAAGAACAATAGTCCGAATGCCAGTCAACGTAAAGAAATAAACAATACTGGAAGAGAATGTTAATCTGTCGGCGTTGTTGTTTGTAACTGTTATGCTAGTGATCTGTCATAAAATAGGACGGGTGACAAGTATCCGCCTGTCAGTGTTAACTCTTATGACGTACCGTCAAGACATCTTACTGAAAATGCTCGTTCTTACTCGATCAGCCGGGAGTGACAGATTTCGAAATTAGCCACACCAACTAACTTAGAAGTAAAAATAAATGCATGAATACAGTAAGAGTCATTTTAAGCGAGTGTGATCGAGTGTTACTGCTACTTACATGATAATGCCATAAACACATATTCTCAGAAATAAATCACCGAATACACTTTTTATCTGGTCGCCATTTTCAGCTTTGCGTTTTACCCAGAAATCCTTGCAACCTGCTCGTGGTTAACTTGCATCTTGGGATGCAAAATGTCTGCGCCCAAGAGGAGTCATGCCTTTTAAAATTGTTGTCAGGAAAAAAACCCACCAACGTTATCTCAATTAAGCCATTACTTTTGGTTACACGTAATCTGAAGAAAACCGGCGTCGTTGAACGTTCATTTAATATCTACACTTTATTTGTCTGAATTAGGAAATCTTATTTGCAGGTAATTTAACAAAATTCAAACATCTCATCAACATGTTGAAGTATTCACACCTAGCCCTGAGTACAGTCCTGTAGTGTAGGTTGACCTCCTACCGCTGATGATCCGGGCCGATTGATTGGGGGAATGATCAGCAGTATGATGCCAACCTACAGAACTGTACTCGGGCTACTAGGCTACCTATACCTATCAACTAGCTGTGGAATCATAGCCCTATGTTGCCGATCGCATTATTTACATGTTAGGGCGAAATTTGATTGTAGGTTGCATCAAAGAGCTACGGAACCGCAGCTACCTATCAACAAGACAGAGCACACATATGTTCATCGAAATTGACAACTTCTTGCACACCAGCATAGAAATCGACATCACCATGCACAAGATCGTAAGGCTGACCTGAGGCATTGGGACAAATGCATTGGGGTGAATGTGAATTTAGACGAATTGACTGTGAATCAATTTGACCACGCCCATTTTTTTAAAACGTCTGAGTGTTTACAAAACCTGCCAAGCTGTGTATTAAGTAGGTTGGCCATTACAGATGTTTCATTTCTGGTTTCGATAAAATTCTGATTTAGGTTTACGTGTGTTGGTTGACCACTCAAAAACTAACATTTGTATTTTTTTTTTAAATTTATTTATTAACACTTACTCACTCCCCAAAGGGAGTGGCAATGGCAATGGATGACAATACTATCATTATACAACAGTGCAGTGAACTGTTCTTTAGGAGGCAGGTTGTGAAAGGAGTCAATCACATCAGCCGCTGTATCAAACAGAACACTGCATCTGTCACTGTAATTGGGGTTCTTCGAGAGACTTGAAGAAGATATTGTGGGGGAAGATCCATCCAGTTCAGTTCAATTTAGGATTCAATGAACATTAAGGATTCCTTTAATAAAAATAGTATATAATAATAATGGTCATAGTCATTAGTTATTTTTAACAGCTATGGTTTGAATTAACCTAGGTAAAATGATGTGGGGAGTAGTGCTAAAATAGTAGTTGATTGAATTCATGTTTTTAGTTCCATGGTTCAAGCTTGCAGTCATTGCCCTGTGTCATTGTCGATATGGGACTCATAGCGACGTACACAACATGTCAAAAATACCTAGTTTGTTGACGTGAAATTTGAACACACGCACCACGCCCATCACCCTTTAAACTGAAGCTGAGATAAAATGAATTTGTTGCTCGACCTAGCCAGCTATTTTATGGTAGTTTGTTGAAACAGTTTTTAATATATTTTTTCACAGACTATTAATCTCACAAGAAAAAGATGTTTTCTAGCAGCTCTGGCATCATGAGCAAAGTCTGGAATTTACATCACTATTGCTGCTCTCTTCAGCTTCTCCGAAAAAGCATTTCCTGCAAGAGATTAATTCCATTCTCAACAAAATTACGGAGCATATGCAGTGAAAGTGGAATGTGGAACAGTTCATTTATTCCAGTAAGGCATCACAATCCGCTTCATTGCGTGAAGCACACAGTTCACACATACAACAATCCAGCCATTCATATGTATCGATTATTTACAAATGTGCAGCGTGTCTGTGTGTCCTGTTATAGTACCCATGCCAGTTTTAGTGATATATCTTTTAATGCGGACCATGTACAGATGTTCTTTAAGAAGATTAAGAATGAGTATGATGATATCCAGAAAGATTTACTCAGTGAAAGTGCTTCAATCACAGGAAGTAAACTTAAAAATTTACATAGAAGAAAATTGGAACTGTTACCAATTGTGGACTTGTTAAAAAAATGGGAAGAAAAAAATGTTGAGTTGGAAGAGATCAATATTTTATTACAAGGTGAGATGATACATGTTTATATTTAATACATGTAACAATAAAGCCTTGGCCAGCCTATAACTGCCAGGCAATGCTTCATTATTCCCCCAAAGTGTAGTGTAGATTGGTTACCTGTGTCTAATGCATGTCTTTGTACAGAGTCAAATTCAACACTCATCATTTTATAACTTGAGTGAATGTCATACATTGTTTGTGAATTGTGTTGTTGTTACACTTTGTTTTTTGTTACTTGTTGTATTTCCAACCAAGATCCCACGCTGGGATACGGTTTCAATAAAGATTATTATTACATTTCTGGTGAAAACAGGATGTGTAAACTGCATGATGTTTGCTAACCCCAACTCCAACCTTACCTCATTCTGAATTGAGATATGCACTACTGTTTTCTATATCCAGTTACAGTAACTGCTACATCATAGTTCTCCAATCAAAACATTGACCTCCATGGACATCTCGTAAGGGGGGGGGGGGGTCTGCTTTCTTGTTGCTACTATGTCAGTATTATTTTCCTGCTTTTTTTAGTGATGAAAACAATACAGAAACACTCAGATGTAGATTTAAGCTCTTCAACAATTTTATCCAAATAATTATCTTCTTATTTTTTTAGATTCCAATGATAATGAAATGATTAGTCTTGCCAAAGAAGAAAAACTAGAAATGATGGCTGCAATCAGAGAATTAGAAGATGAGGCAAGACTTTTTGTCTATAATCAGATCTTTTTACAGTCATTAATTAACAATTACAAACACATTCATTTAATATGTAAATTTCCCTATAGATAAATTTTACATGAGATGTATGGCAAAAACCTGTTGACATTGTAAACATAATATAAACATTTATAAATAAAAATGGCTCAAATTGACCAATCAATTAATGGTATATTGGGATATCATTGTGAGTTAATTCACATCAAATCAGCAAACGCTTCATTTTGAAAAATTGGCAGTCACAGTTGCTAGGTTACAAGAAGACAAGGTTATGGTTGAAGACAATGTTGAGCTCTTGAGCCAGTCGATTACAAATTTGAATTTGAATAAAATTTGATGATCGGTATTTACTAAGGGAACACTTTCTGCCTTATACTGTAAAATGAAGCTTTATATTGTATTGTTACTTTTATGAACTTTAGAAGTGCAATTTTCACAAATTATTTCCCACACAGATATTCTCACTTCTTGTGCCAAAAGATGAAGACGATGATACAAGCGATGTCCTTGTAGAAATCTCTGCTGGGGTTGGCGGTCAAGAAGCAATGTTATTTGCTGCTGAAATGTTTGAAATGTATCAACGTTATGCACATTTTCAAAGATGGCAGTTCGATGTGTTGGATGTCGGCAAAAGTGACATTGGTGAGATCAAATGTCAGAGTATATCTTGATATAGAAATTGCCTGATCAGTGGTTGTTTTCATAAATATTCTCGCTGTCTTCTTTTTGCTATTCATGAAGAAGTGATGGTATCGATCTAAGCGAGTTTGGATTCTCTTGTTGTGACTACAGAGGGCGCTCTCATTACTTGTACAAAACTTGGAGAGCTTCTGTAAAAAGCTTTAATTTATACAGAAATTTCAATTTTACCTTTTTGGCATTCTGGTAAAATTTGGGGCATCACTTTCACACAGTTCAGTATATATCATTGTGGTATAAAAGTTTTATTTTTTGTACTAGATTCCTTTAAGTTTTAAATTGTTTCTTTTTCCATTTATGTATTATGTGCTTTTTCAAATATTTTATTGTAGCTCCTAATTACTTATTAGTGAGCCCCTGATGTAAAAAGGTAGTAACAAATAAATAAATAAATAAATAGTTTGGGGTGGAATTTGCAGGTTTCTGTGTGAGTAAATGTCTACCAATATTAGTAAGACGTAAGCTTTTTTGGGTTATCAAAACCTGGTGTAGTTTAGCTCATCAATTTCTGTAAATTAAAATCATTGTTGGTTACTAAGTATCTATGACAATGTTTTGTGTTTTGTTGCTAAATATGTTATTGAAGAGTTGTGTCATCACCAACCAGTATTTGAAATAAATAAACTGACATCTTTGAATTCTCATTTGTCAGGCGGTATTCGGCATGCCACTGTTAGCGTGAGTGGACCGGGTGTTTATTCATATATGAAATATGAGGGTGGTGTGCACAGAGTACAAAGAGTTCCCAAGACAGAGAAGCAAGGTAGAGTGCATACCAGCACCATGACTGTCGCTGTCTTACCTCAGCCAAGAGAGGTAGGTTACTATTCTTAGCTGAACTGGTTCAAAGTTTATTCCCTCTGAATTTCTACAGTCACTGTTGATCAAATCAACTGGAGCTACTAGAAAACATCTTTTTTTCTTGTGTGATTAATAGTCTGTGAAAAAATATATTAAAAACTGTAATTTAATATTTCAACAAACTACCATAAAATAGCTGCACCATCATATTGGCTAGATTGAGCAACAAATTATTTTATCTCATCTTCAGTTAAATGGTGATGGTTTGGCTTCAATATGCTAATTAGAGGTTGTACCATATAGATGAGCAGGCCATACAGCTAATAAATGCTAATAAATAAAATATGTCATTTGTCACATGACCTTTCATAAACCGCTTTCATTGGTTTATTTTCACAGATTGATTTGCAGATTAAACCAAGTGATTTGAAAATTGAGACAAAGAGAGCTAGCGGTGCAGGTGGTCAACATGTGAATACAACAGATAGTGCTGTAAGAATTGTCCATTTACCAACAGGTCAGTTCTCAACTTTTTTGTTAGACCATATGTATTTTGGCATTAACATTTGTTGCCAGATAAGCAACATTTTCCTCAAAATATTTCCCTCAAAATATTTCCCTCAAAGCACAATCAAAAACAGATTATGAATATGAGCATCTTGAATTTTCAAGATGAATGTTCTGGCGAAGCACTCCACTATCACCTTGAAGAGGGTGGGCAAGGGTTATTTTCGTTCAACGTAATTGCAATATTTTTTTGTTCGTACAACGTAAATTGAAAAAATAAATTCCGTAATTCTGTAATCACAGGCTAGACTTACAACGTAATCGATCAAATATTTTTTTCGTACACTGTAAAAATGTGTCATTTTTCTCGGTACGTACAAGAATTTTCTAGGTTTTCTTTCTTAATCTTCCGTAAAATGTAAAATAACCTTCATTTTCTCTGTAAACTGTAAACATTCAATTTTCACTGTAAACTGTAAAAACGTATTTTTTTCCTTGTGAATTGTAAAAAACCCTATTTATTTCCCATAAAACTGTACCAGCTACCCCCCCTATTTCGTTAGGACTATGTGTATGTGACAATGCCCTCACAGTTTTAGAACCAGTTTACCAACAGCCAATCATATTGCTTCTTTCATCAATGCGCTTGGCCAAGCTATCAAAATCCACGGGACAGAGCTGAGTCACAAGACTCTCCACGTTTCTATTTAAAACGTGCACCACTCTATCATGTATTTCTATGGGCTCTGCGCTAGCTGCTGTAAAACACTGGTTGAAAAGCCGGTGAAAATAGCTAAAATCGAGAAAACAGCACAAACATTGATCCTAAACAACTAAATTCAAATATGTTGCACATGTAGGGGTAATTACACTGTTCAGGGGGGTGTCAACAATCATCCCAAAATACCATTTACTGAGAATTTATTGGCTTTTGCTGCTTAAACTCAGAAAAGTAATTTTTGTGTGTACGTCTATTGTAGTAGGTGATCGTTTACAAGAAGTTTACATTCTTACAGTGTCTCTTTCACCATGTACCATCAAAAATTGTTGTTTTCATTAATTAGAGCCTAAATTAGAGTTGAACCATTGATCCATGAAGATGCATCTATGGAAACACATTTAAGAAATTCAAAACGATTTTGGCCATTACCGTAAAATCTGTATTAGAAGCCGCATCCCTAATAGAAGTCGCACCCATTATTTTTGAATAATTGAGAATCAAAAATTCATCATTTCTCATATGTGTAGGTGCTCTAATAGAAGCCGCATCCCCTGTGTTGCATTCTACCATTTTAATAGAAGCCGCAGCTTCTAATAAAGATTTTACAGTAGATGTTGATATTTCAGGATTTTGTTAGGAATTTTTTTTTCATTGTTTATAGTGTATAGAGATTTCCACTAACATAAACTTGATCAAGGGAATTTTTATTTGTTTTACTCAAATAAGTTATCATTATGAAATGTGGAATTATAAATAGTATAATTTTTGGTCACATGACATTTAAATCTGGACTACTTATATAATTCATTATTAGCTGCCCTTTTTATAACTGAAGTGTAGATTTTATTATAGTAAAACTTGGAAATACATCAGCCATAGAGGCCACCTTTTTGCAAATCTTCCCTTAACTCACTTGAGTTTGCCTTGTGATACTCTCATATGGAAAACTTGTATTATCTGAACCTGACTGATTTATTTCTCATCTGAAATAACATTCAATAGTTTTGAATTCTACACACTCAACACAACTAGCCAAGGAAAGATGAAATATTAAATGTTTGTTAGAACACCGTGGCAACGCATGTTATGGCTATAACATGGCTATAAATTAGTGAATGTTTGTCAAACATAACCTTTGACATGCTGCGCATCAAATTTTTAATAATACGGTGTCAGTTTCGCATGCGATTCAATAGATTTGTTGATGCTTAAGATCTTCAGCCAAATCTGCATAAATGATTGGCAATGTGCAGCTCTTTCTGACCCACAAATATTATGAATATTGTGATTGTAGCATTTGGTATATGGTGCATACTTCATATGTCAAATGTCAAACAAAATAAGTCCCATAATCTAAAATTTTTTTGTTCTCACTTTTCTTGGCAGGAATAGCCGCAGAGTGCCAGCAAGAAAGATCACAAATTAAAAACAAGGCGATGGCAATGAAAGTACTGGAAACTAGACTTTACAATAAACAACTCGAAGAACAACAACACATACAGAGGCAATCTCGGAAACTACAAGTTGGCTCATCTGGAAGGTCGGAGAAGATTCGCACTTATAATTTCAACCAAGACAGGATTACAGATCACAGGATTGGACAACATCTGCACAACATTGATGGATTCTTATCTGGAGGAGATGATTTGAATGATTTAATTGAATCATTGCAGGAGTATTACAGCGTAGAGGCTGTCAAAACTCTTATCCAGGATTATAGTCAAAAATCCACAATCTCAGAATGACATGTGCAGGGTTATTTATATATCAATAAATAGGTTTGTTCTTCCTTAAAAAAAAGTCAGTCTGTGAAAACTTTATATATTTGTGACTATAGGATTTTTCTGAGATATAAAATCTGACCCAAGATAAAATGTTGAGGTTTCAGGCCATAACCATTTTATCATGGTGAGGACTTTATATCTCAAAAACCATTTTAGTATAAAGGCTTTATCCTATACTTGAAACCCACTGCCCCAAACCATCTTTACCATATTTTTGAAAATGTTCATATTTTGAATGCCTTCAGTGAGCTCATTGAGCAGCGTGCCTATCATATCAACTGTTGTGTTAGCTCAATGAGCAGTGTGCCTGTCGGATCAACCATTATGTGAGTTCAATGAGCAGCATGCCTGTCAGATCAACTGTTGTGTGAGTTCAATGAGCAGCATGCCTGTCAGATCAACTGTTGTGTGAGTTCAATGAATAGTGTGCCTGTCAGATCAACTGTTGTGTGAGTTCAATGAATAGCG